CAGTCAATGATCTTAACTGTTAAATTGTATCTCGAGCCCCAAATTAAATTAAATAAAATTGATCTTTAAACTAATCTTTTAATAGATAACAAGAAGTCTGTTAAATTACAGAAGGTGTGAATCTTTGTTCGAATTCTGATCATTTTGAGATTAATTTATCTTGAAACAATGTTTTTTTGATAAAAATAAAATGATTAACTTATCAACAATATTTTTAAAATCTTTAAAGCTTAGAAAGCCGAAGTTAATTGGCCTTTTGGGATTCTTAACATTTGGTTATGAAAGAGAAGATGCCAGTACTCAAGCCTCTAACACAATCAACTCAGTCCCATTCTTAGATTTTTGTATTAGTTGTATATAGGAAAATCATTGATAAGTGAGGTAGGGTAGAATAAAGTACACTTAATTCTCATACTTTTCTGCAAATCCTCCTTGTGTCTTTAGAGGTTCTTTGACAGGTTCATATACAATTTGGGGGGTATTAATCTTGCTCCATATTAATTACCCAGCATTACTGCCAAATAATAACAAATATATTCTTACACCTACACACACATGCATACACACACACACACACACACACACACATATATATATATATATATATATATATATATATATATATGGACATATATATCCAATTTCTTGACAAATATATTCATTGAGTGTTAACCATTAAATATCCATAAATACCCTAGTGATTTCTGAACTCAGAATTATTTCAGCCTGGGAAAATAAAAATAACAAAATCATAAACATATTAAGAATAAACATAACATTAACCATAGAAGAAGGTGAGCTATTGAGGCAAATGATTTACATTATGGTGGAAATAGGCTACAAACTACAGGCTGTTTATCTGACCATGAATAAGAGTTTTTCAGGAAAAGGTAGAAGGTAACAAAATTTTAGGTGCAATATTATTTATAACACTTATTGATCTTATTTATCACATTCTTGAAAGCAATGATAATCTATGAATAAATTAATGCCTACATAGAATATGCTTAGAATTTTAGTCCAGTTTCCAGTAATTTATGAAATGTTGTTGAATTTCATCTATCATCCATCAAGGTATATTAGTAGGTTAGTTTCATTTCAAACTTATTTTCTTCAAATTCAACTTAGATGTCAACACAGCAACTATCTCAAAATATCTCCTTTTTCCATACCCATATAGTCTATCCCTTTCTTTATAATTCTTAGAAAGTATCTTACATTTTAATTTAAAATTAATACTTTTATTTAATTTTGTGTATATGTTTGCACATATGCCTGTCTGGAAATGCTTACAGAGATCAGAAGAATTGGATTTCCCTTGAGAATGAAACATAGATGGCTAAGAGATATGCAATATGAGTGCTCAGAACTGAACTCAGATTCTTTACAAATCAATTATATACTTTTAAGTGTGGAACTGTGTATCACTCCAATCTCTTTCTTCTACTTTCTGATAAAACAAACTTATGAATTCTCTGTTCAGAAATGGATGGAAATTGAAAACGCTTTTCTGAGTGAGGTAACCCAGACCCAAAAAGAGGAATATGGTATGTACTCACTCATAAGTGGATTCTAGCCATAGTTAAAGGTCTTTGGGTCTATAATTAGTGATCCTAGAGAAGATAGATTAGAAGGTGAACCTGAAGAAAATTTATATAGTTATCCTCCTGGATAATAGAACTAGGCAAGATTGCCAAGCAAAGTCGGGTGCATGGGGGGTGGGGGTGGAAGTAAGGGAAGATGGTTAGGGTGAGGGGAGAGGGCGAGAATTGGGGATGGCTTGGGGGAATGGGAGGAAGGGAGGAAGGAAGGATGGTTATGGGAGCAGGGAAGTTCATGTCGCAACTAAGAGAGCCATTCTAGGGTTTGCAAGAGGCTTGATTCTTGAGGGGTTCCCAGTAAAAATTAAAAATAAATAAATAAATAAATAAATAAATAAATAAATAAATAAAAAAGAAAACACTTTACTGAGTCAGGTAAGCCAGACCCAAAAAGAGGAATAAGGTATGTATTCACTCATAAGTGGATTCTAGCCATAATTAAAGGTCTTTGAGCCTATTATTCGTGATCCTAGAGAAGCTAAATAAGAAGGTGAACCTGACGAAAATTCAGGTAGTTTTCCTCCTGAAGATTGGAAACAGACAAGAGTTCCAGGTAACCAAGGGTGCATTGGGGGTTGGGAGGGTAGTTGGAAGGGTAGGAGGTTAGAGAGAAGGGAGCAGGGGAGGAATGGGAAATGCTCGGGGGACTGGGAGGGGGGGACGGAGGAAGGATAGATATGGGTTCAGGGAAGAATATATTTCAACTATGGAAGTCAGTTTAGGGTTTACTAGAGACTTGATTGTAAATGGGATCCCAGGTCCAAGGAGAGATCCCCAGATTATTCTCTGGACAGAGGAGAGGGTGCCTGAACTGGCCTTGGCCCATAACCATACTGATGAATATTTTGCTTATCACCATAGATCCTTCATCTGGCAATAGATGGAGCTAGAGATGGGGTCCCACGTTGGAACATTGGACTTAATTCCCTAGGTCCAACCGAGAAGCAGCAGGAAGAAGAACGTGAGCAGGGAGGGCAAGATCAGAGGGAACCTTCATCCGGCGATGGATGACGATGCAGACGGAGACCCACATTGGAGCACCGGACTGAGCCCCCCAAGGTCCAAAGGAAGAACAGAAGGAGGAAGAACATGAAAAAGCAAATCAGAACGGCAAGGGGAGCGATCACCCACTGATACAAGGCGACTGATCTAATGAGAGTTCACCAAGGCCAGTTGACTGGGACTGAAGGAGCGCTTGATCCAACCAGATTCTCTGGAGGAGGCTGGATTCTCTGAATGTGGCTGGCCCGAAGTCTTTCTAAAAAACCATTGACAATGACTCTGGGATTTGTTTCCTCTGCATATTCTGGATCTTTGGGGATCCAGTCTGATTAGATACTCACCTTCCTGGTCCTGGAGGGAGCGGGGAGGAACTTGAACTACCCACAGGGCAGGAAACCCTGACTGCTCTTAGGGATGGAGAGGGAAGAGGAGAGGGAGTGGGGGGAGTGGGAGGGTGTTGGGAGGAGGGGCGAAAATGGAAACTTTTATATTTTAATAAACCTTGAAAAAAAAACAAACTTATGAGCAAGTAAATTTTCTTTCTATTTTCATTATTTACACATAACACCTATTCATAAATATAGTTTATAAAAATAATAATTTAGTAGAATAAATGCTTTTGTTATTGTCAGTTGTATTAGAGACAGTAGTTGAAGGGGATCCCTGCATGTATTGGTCATGAACACTAACTGTGAAGAGATGAGAATGAAAACTCAGTTCAGATTAATTTGTCAGCTTGGATCAAACCTTCTACAGTTTGAATCCAGGCAGTTCATTGTAGGCATATGTGAATTACAATGCAATTTAGGAAAAAGTTTCCAGGGAACAATCATTGCCAGTTCAGGTGCAAAATAATGCTTAAGGAGTAAGTCCATAGACTCTCCTTTAAAAGGACATATAATCATGAGGGTAGGTTCTACAGCTAAAATCCTAGAATATGTTGTCTCTGAGATATCATAGAGGTTAATAATACATGTGGCATCTTCCCTAAGAATGGGTTCTATTAACTGGAAGCTAAAGATGATGATAAAAGGAAGATAGCATCTGTAATAAACATTTTGGTTAAGGTTTGCCTCTATAGCACAAAGTACATGAAGGTTTGCCTCTACAGATAGCAAAACGGTAACCACATCCACTCCAAAAATTCTGGGTGGAAAACAGGTAAATCCTTCTTTGAGATGAGGACCCTGTATATTTAACATTCTTCGTTACCTAGTGCTCAGTTGGTGAGAGGACCGTTGGTTCCCTATCAAGTAACTTGACTTCCCACTCACGATGCTGCTCAGGCTGGTCTCAAACTTAACAAAAGCTCAACACAAACTCTTCAGACTATTGAATATTCAGTAGATGTATATGTTGACAGAAGTTTCTTTCCTGCACCCATTCAGTCCAAAAGAAATACACAGAGTCTTACATTAATTATAAAGTGATTGATCTATTAGCTCAGGCTTCTTATTAGCTAACTCTTACACTTTACATTAACTCATAATTCATGCCTCTGTTAGTAACATGGCTGCGTGTCTTTTATTAGAGAGGCATTATCATCTTGCTTCTTCTGCATCTGGGTGAGAACTGCTGACTGAGTCTTTCCTCTTCCCAGAATTCTCCTATTCTGTTCACCCTGCCTATACGTCTTGCTTGGCTAATGACCAATAAGCATTTTATTAAACCAATAGAAGTAATAAATCTTTACGGGATACAAGACCATTGTCCCACAGGTGTGTACTCTTCTGCTTGGCTTATTTTTTAATTTCAGTGTGAATGTCACCAGAACTTTTAAATCATATTTCAAACTTGTATATTTTCCTACAACCTTATTCTAAATTACCATATTTTTTTCATCCTAGAAAATATAGCAGCCTATTCTTTCTTTTCATTATTGTTACGTTAATTACAATATTAGAAGTGAATTAGAAATAGTTTTAAAATACAAATTAGGTCCTTGCTTACTTCTACTTCATCAAAGATTAAGCACTGAACAATATGAACTAATCCATCTCCATGTTTGTAAAACTTAGACTTTTAGAAAAAGTAATTAAACATTGTGAAATGGTAAAAAGTCTTCTGAAATGTTCAAGATTCACCAATTTATATACATTGTCACTGTAACCAATTTTTCTTTACATATAGTTTCATTATGCTTTCCTCCATTTCGCAAAGCAATATCGGATCATTCATTGCTATTTCATATGAGTTTAAGAGAAATTTCAGTAGAAAACAAGAATAATTATATGCTATCTTGAACAAGTAAGTTGTAGAGGAAAGAATCTTGTAACCCCAAACTTGATGAGCTATAATTTCGGGAATTTCTATGCATCTTGCTCTTTCATTATCACTTTCAAAAACATGCCACTAGTTTTTCAACCTATAATTCTTCTCATGTACAAAAACTATGATGAACCTTAGACAATTCATTATAGAATGCTTTTTCCTTTTCTCCTAAAATCAGCCTCATTGTACTTATCTTTATATACTCTGAGACTAGTACAGAAGTTCTAGACTGTTTTCTGCCATTTGTTAATGAAAGTTATAAGAAAAAATGATGCAGGCGTAGTCATAAATTTATAACTAAACCCTATTGTTGGAACCTAATGTCTTCTTTGGGGAAGGGCAAGAAGGCATGACATCAATGACATAGATACTAGAAGTCTAGTGAAAGAAATAAAGCAGACTCATTTATTTAGCAATGGGGCTTTTATACCCTCCCACTACCCAAGAGTTCCAATCCAGTGACATTGCATGGTCACCTGTCATTGGCAATGCATGATAAGAATCTCTGACAGTACCAGGCAAACTACAGGTTGGCTCCTCTCAGCCTGGTAGGCCTTGCCAACCTATATATTCACCCATTTTTATTTATTACATGGGTTCTCAGTGGGAGTCAGAGTTCTTTGCTCAGGCTCTGTTGACCCCACCTCAGGAGGGCTCAGCAACTGAACTGTGCCTGTTTTAGATTCATCTACCAAACAAACTTTTACCTGTCACTGACTACCATCCCTCAAAGAGCATCCATTCCTGTAAAGCTGCCTGGGTGAGGGAAATAGCAGTAGCCTTTTGAATTTCAGATAACCAGGCATGTATAACCTGCTGAAGAGGACTGCGAGAAGGATGCCTAAGACCCAGTAACACCTGAAGAGTCACTGTAGTGTTCTCATTGCTCTCAGGAGACATTTAAAGAGAATAAGGATTAACAACACTACCATGCTAATTAATGCATATATGATCATCCAGAAAAAAAAATCAAATATCCTTTGTATATTATGCCAGACTTTTTCAAAAATTAAGAGTCAATGACCATAACCCCTGTCCTTAAGAAATCAATTTGTTTGGGACTATAATGAGAGCAAGAAAGGGGTATATATACGTTGCCCATTCTTTGCTATACACCTTTATTAGTAGAAGCAGATTGATCCATGCCTGGGAGTACATCTCTTTCTGGGACCCATATTGGAGTTGTGCCAGTGTGAGGAAAACCACATGCATACTTTTGCCCATGAATTAGCGAGAGAATGGGTGGCTGCATTAGAGGAAGAGAGGCTCTCTCTTTCTAACCAACAGCAGGAATATGTTTCTTGCCAGAGATGCCCAGTGCTTTTAGGCTGAACTGAGGCCCTTGTCATCAAAACTGAGAAAGTTCATATGGAAATGTGTCTCTGTTAAGGAAAGATGAAGATCTCTTCTAGCCTCTGGTGAGATACTACTGACCAACAGCACCTTAAGAGCCCTATTGGTCCTTTCCACAATGTCTTGTCCCTGTAAGTTTTAGGGCATGCCATTGGTATGGGAAATCTTCCAGGACCCCAGAAAGACATTGAATTGTTGAGAGGCATAGAGAGGGCCATACAAGTTGACACATAATCACATACACTTACAAATAATTAAAAATCAGATAGATATATCAATATGTAATAATATTCTACCAAATATATTTCTCACATCTGTCTATCTATCAATTTTATCTAACTATCATCTGTTTACTTTACCTCTCAGTCTGTCAATATATACTTAATTTGCTTCTACACCTTGGTGGTTCAGAATAAAGCTGCCTTGTACTCATATGCATGACTAACTGTCCAAGCCAGTGCTTTTATTTCCTAGGCTATATTCCCAGCCTAGAATCTATGAGTGGCCCAATGGCATCATTATGAACCATTAGAATTGATGTTGTAGGGTCCCATCTTCCTTCTAGAGACTTCAGAGATTGCTGTTAGGAAAAATTTTTGTTCACTGAGGAAATGTAAACATTGTTAATATCAAAATGGAAAGTTTAAATTTTAAGGTAAATTTTTAGCCAAAGAAATGTACTAAAAAGTCAAAAATAAGTAAGGCAAGAAATAGAATTTTGGAGAGATAACAGAGTTTTGACAACAGTAGTCCCTAGAGTTTTGGTTTTCTTCTATTCTACACCAAGTGACTCTTCTAATATGTCACATAAACTCTATTTTTTTCTTCTAACAACATTATTGGATTTTGAGAAGGAGAGAGCCATGTTCCGACTCCGAAGCCAGCTTTGATTTTAATTAAGTCAGGACTGCAACTTTTCTGAGAAGAAAATATTTGTACCATAGGTCAGACATGCCTTTGCTTAATAATTTTTTTTTTCTGGATAGTTCTCCCTTCTTTAGTTATCTAGATGTCCAATGTTTTTGACTGCTTAAAGATGGCTATTTCTATTTTTTCTGTGAAGACAAAACAAAAACAGAACCATACCCTGACCCTTGTGAGTTTTTCTTATGACTTGTAGGATAGCTACACCAGTGTATGTGATGTGGGATTCCCCTCTGTATGCTGTTAATGAAGAAACTATATTAGGCCTGTGCAGGGAATACAGGTAGGCAGGGAAAACTAAGTTGAATTCTGGGAGAAAAGAGGTAGAGTCCGAGAGAGGTCATATAGCTATGCCGAAGACAGACTCTGAAACTTTAGCTGGTAAGCCAGAGACACGTGGCAATACTCAGATTAATAGAAATGGGTTAAATTAATACGTAAAAACTAGCCAATAAGAAGCTAAAGATAATGGGACAAGCAGTGATTTAATTAATACAATTTCTGTGTGATTATTTCGGGGCTAAGTGGCCAGGAACCAACAAGCAGCCTTCTTCAAACTGTGGATGAGCTATCATTTCTCCTTTTCAAGAGCTTTTTCCTGTTTGAATCAAATCATTATTAATTTTGATTGTATCCATAACAAATATGGAGGTATTATATTTACTTGTGGTGGTTCTATGTGCCCCATCTTTATCTGTTCTGCAACTAATTCCTTTAGAATTGACAGCTTGTTCAATTACAGGCCACTGTTTCACCCAGTCATAAATGTATTGATAGATAAATATTTTATTACTGTCACTAAGATTATTTCAGTTGTTCAACCTAATACTAACTTAGTTTATTAAATTACAAAATTGTTAATGTTTTGAATGTTTAGAGTTACCTTTAAAACAGAGATAAACAGCAAATAAATATTAATAGGATAGAGAGTAAATATTCTTATCTTTTTCCAAGTTTTAACTACTTAATTCATCTACTGAAACATTAAGGGAGCCATAGACCATAAAATCATGAATGACTAGCTTTGTTCTAGTAAAACATTTAAATGCAAAGAATCAGATTTGGCTTTAAGCTATTTACTGTGCTGTCTTCTGGTCGAAACAGAAGGTTCATTGCTTTATTTTACACAAAAAGAGTTTCCCAATGTTGGTCATTGTGATTTATGTGGCATAATCCTCTTTGATCATTGTTATTTTTTTTTTTTCATTTAATTTTCTTTTGTGCTACCTGCTGCTCAAGTGCTGGCACTTTAATATATTGGGTGCATTTCTAATGTTTCTAATTTTTTTAAGATTTATTTATTTATTATGCATACAGTTTTCTGGTGCCTACAGGCCAGAAGAGAGCACCACATTTCTGTACAGATGGTTGGGAAACACCATATAGTTGCTGGGAATTAAACTAGGGACCTCTGGAAGAGCAGCCAGTGTTCTTAACCTCTGAGCCATCTCGCCAGCCCAAATGTATCTAATTTTTAATACCATCTCTACACTATGAGTTTCAGAAAGCATTGGATTATCTAAGTCTCTCAGTTAACATAACCTACCTAGTGACATTTGAAATTTTCTGTCATTTTAGGCAATGACCATAGAAATAAAACTATAAAAATTGAAATTCAAACCCCATTCTTTTGAGGTTGAGTAGGTAACACTCAGCATACTTGTCCTCAACAAACTAGGATGTTTAATCACCCCAGTAATAATTAAACTGTTTAAATCAGTGACTATCTTCTATTATATTAGTTTCATTCTGAGTTATTTAATTTAGGCTACCATTTCTACTTAATATAAAATAGTTTATTGTTGATAATTGAAGAAAGACTTGCTTGAATTATCTTTATTGTAAGGGAGTATCAGATTTTCTTCCTTGAAACCTTCCTTATAAGATTATAGGCAAAAAATAATGAAAATTTTATAATTACATGAAAGTTTATTGGATATTAGTTCCATGCTTTTAATATACTATGTCATCATCTTCTCAAAAATATTGAAAATTAAGGAATGCTATATACCAGAACAGGCAGCCATTCTACCATTAAAGTATGTAACTTCTCCCCTGCCTTAGGAGAACCCACCAGACAAATGGCTACACACAGGCTGACATAGATATATTAGTTATCAATTAAGATTAGGTTCCAAATTCTTTTTTGAAAAGCTGTGATTTTATGTAATAGTCTCCAACTCTTGGCCAGTGATTGATGGTTAGTCCTGAAGATTTATACATACAGTAAAAATTATATGAACTGAGCAGAGTTTAGTTACGTATTTTGTCAATATGTATGTACACATAAACACACACACACTAATCATTGAAGAAACAAAAGGTTTGGATTTGAAGGAGATCTTTGGAGGGTACACAGGAAGGTTTTGAAGGAGGAAATGAGAGAGTGAATGATATAGTAGTAATCTCAAAAAATAATAATTATAAATGTCCAACAGTTAAACTCCACATGCCCCTGTCTTATTGGAAAACTACAAACATAATGATAAAAACAAGAAATATATTATCCCCATCAAAAAATAAAGCTCCACCAATCTTATAATAAGACTAACTTTGAGAACTACCTAATGAGGTAAAAATTCAAGACATGGAATTCAAAACAATAATTACAAACTTGTTCAAATACATCAAAGAATTTAAAAAGTTTCCTAACAAAGGCGTGAATAAACTGAAAAACAAAACAAAATTTATAGAAACCCAAGAAGACACAAAATACTTAAAAAATAAGGAAGACAATTTGGGACATGAAAATAGAACCCATTGAAAAGATATACATAATAAAATTTAAACTTTAAGCCATAAATGAGCATTTTCATTTTTCCACCAAGTTTTAGTGTATAGCCTCATTAACAGAATAGAAAATGTGTATTATTTGGTATTTGAAACAAGGTAGAGGAATGGTGGCATTTGCTCAAAAAATAATGCATTTAAAAAGGCATAAATGGTAAATAGAGGATATTAGGAAATCATA